CCCCCCCCCCCCCCCCCCCCCCCACAAACCAGAGACTTTTCTATTTCACAATGGCCCAAGGATGTCCGAGTCAGACTGGCTTGTGCACTTATAACAAATACAAAAAAATAAAAATACTCCCTTCTGGTAAACAGTCAAATCCTTTCACCACAGTGTCATGGTCAGGATTTCAGTGGTCATTAAAGCTAGTCTTAAGACTTTGTTTATGAAACAAAATAAAGGTGATTAACATTCTTTAGATGGTGCTGTGGTCATTGACAAGATTGTGTAAATATCAACGGTTCTCATCCAAACTGAAGATTTTAAGTGTTCAGTTTTGCATGTAAATGATCAACTAATGACATATATATATATATTTTCACATCTGGCATCGTATAGCTGGTGTTGTCTTGGCCATGCGCGCGGTCCTGCGGGCTGTGCAGACGGGCAAAACTGGGGAGGGACGTTTCTGCACACCTCTTGAGTTTCTTCAAAGAGCCGCAGCGAGAGAGAGAGAGAGAGAGACAGGGGGAGGAGGGGGATCACAGAAGAGAGGGGTGTAGAGGGGCGAAATCATCCCATCCTCCGCTTGTGAGCAAGGCACTGCTGCTGCTTGAAGCCCGTGGCTCCTCGGCTCTCACATGTAACGGGATAAAATGCTGAAGTTCTTCTCTGCGCGGGATGACGAGAATGAAAGCCTCCTGGGAGCAATAACTGAGGGTAAGAATTGTGTCGATCGCACCTCGGGTGGAGACGCTCCCCCCCCCCCCATTCATTGCCTGCGAGTTACAGGGTGATGATACAGCGCGTCTTGTGTTTTGTCAGAAATTCGCTGATGCAGCATTTCGCCGCGCGCATAGTCTGCATCATCTGAAACGCGCGCGCGTTTATGTGTGCGTGTGTGTGTGTGTGTTGCGCACATTCCGGTGTGAAGACATGCTGCTGACATACACGCGCCGGCCTCCGTAAACATCAGCCCAGTGGTGTGTCCTGCTCGGTGGTCTGATGTAATGGGGTGCGGGGTGAGTGTCGCATTGCCGCCGGCCTCGGTGCCTGCGAGCGGATTAAACATTTGCGCGCGTGTGTGTGTTGAATGCGTCACTGTCCCGGGAAAGCGATCGCTCCAGTCAGCCGGATCGGTGCAACCCCGCCGCCGTGTCGGGGAATCGTCACTCTGCAGCCCGCAGCGGTGAACGATGAGGCGCGCCTTCCTTTTTATGGTTTTTATTGAGGGAGCTGCAATGCAGTTTAACCCTGAGAAATTAGACCATTCACGTCCAATCTAAATTGTAACAGCCGGTAATACCCGGGTATATATACTATAGGCTCTGATTTCTGGTGGTTGTTTTAATTCCTCTTACCGGGTCCTGAGTCATAACTCTTCATGAGTCACTGGCAGCTACAGCTCAATGAAACACCTGCTATGGACACGTTAACTCCCATGCGTGCTGGTAATTAACAGTAATGGTTATTACCTACCTTACCATTCGAGAGAAAGGTGCAGAAACAGTAATTGCCTGTCATCAGAGAAAGGTGTTTGCCTTTATGTAGATTATCATGTTGAGATTAGGAATGGAGTCATTCAGAATCAAATGGCTCATTTGGCCGTATTTACATGTGAAACACGCTTCTCTGCTGATCAGTTTTAGTAGCAAATCATTTGTTTTTGGTCGACCACCAAAGACACACAACAAATGAGCCAATTTGCAGGACCAGTCAAGACTTCAGCGTGAACACCTGCAAGCCAACATAGAAAACTACAACAAAAACAACATCTGTTAATCCTCAAGGTAATACACTCAGACAGTTTTTGTAGCGCCAATCAAACACAGAACCACTATTGAACATTTGGTCTGGAACCAGCAGCTGTGTGGTATCATCCACTGCGTATACAGCTATGGTTTTACATTTTATATTTAGTCCACAACAAACCTCTTATTTCCAACCATGTGATCCGTTCTGGGATCAGCTCAAGCACACCTCTCAAGGGCGGCGGGGTGCTAATGCTGCCTTTCATGGTGATTGAAAGCTAAGAGGTGTGTTCAGGGTGATGAAATAGATTATCGCACGCTGTTAAATGGCCACTTAGCACATGTGAACATTTTCCGCCTAATAAGTCGTCATTAATGAGCATGAAAACATGGTGTGTGTAAGTGTGTGACAGAATGAGCGATAGACACATTGAGTGTTAGTGATAATCAAGCTCTCCTTCGACACAGATGAAGGAGACAATCCGTCTCTTCAGGACACCAAGCACCACTGGCTGAACAGACCCTGTGTGCTGGTGCTCAAAGATGGTGATGTGTCCAAACCGGGATTGGGTTGCGGCCAAATAAGACCAGAATCTCTGTCCAAGATGTCTTCAGATGCGTCGGTCAGAAGCAGCTTTGGGCCGTGTGAGAAGAAACCATCTGAACATCCTGCCGAAACGACTTCACCTTCCCAGCTGGAGGAAGGCAGCTGCACTGTGACCGCCATCTCCACGTGGGGTGAGAGTTGTTTCGGGGAGTCTTCCAGTCCCCTGGTGCTGAGCCCTGCAGAGGCTGCGTGGCCGGAGGAGGAAGAGGAAGAGGAGGTGGCAGAGGAGGAGAAGAAGAAGAAGCCCCAGGCTCTCCCATCAAAGGAAGACTCTGTGGTTGAGGAGAAGGAGCTGGAGGAGAGCAGGCTGGAGCAGCAAGAGCAGTCCTGCAGCTCGGAGGCGACAGCAGCACCCTCTACTCCCTCACATGATGGCAGGGGGTCCAAGGAGGTCAGATCTAATGGAGGAGATGAGACGAACAGCAGCAAGGCCCAGGCAACCGGCGGGGAGGGAGCAATGGGCGACTGTGAAGCTTCCCCTCCGGATCCCGACAACGAGTCCCAGCTGAGCCCCGTTGGCATTCTGTCCAAGGATCGAAGCACTGTCCTCGGGGAGGTGGCTCCAGTGTGGGTCCCTGACGCTCAGGCGCAGGTCTGCATGAAGTGTGGGGTCAAGTTTACGTTTACCAAGAGGAGGCATCACTGCCGTGCTTGTGGGAAGGTGAGGAAGGACGTTTATATGTTGTGCAGCATTTGAAATAAAACGTAAAAGTTCTCAAGAAGTTGCCTTGCAGTTGATGTGTTAAACGTGTGTGTCTGTCCTTGTGTGGTGTATCGCCAGGTTTTTTGTGCGCTTTGTTCCAACCTGAAGTTCAGACTCACACATCTGGATTGTAAGGAGGGACGAGTTTGTGTTTCCTGTCATTCAATCCTCGTCAAAAGTGAGCACAGATTTATTTTTGTTTTTGTTTAAGTTCACAGTTTTTTAAATGAAACTTTGCTTAAGTAACTCTTGCGTCCTGTCTTCAGGGACACCTCCAAGGGGGAAAAGGAGGGTGTGGTTTGCAGATGACATCCTCCCCAAAAAGCAGTCGGAGTCTGCTCCGACCACACCAGTGAGAGGGTTCTCACCGCTGATGAGACGAGCACTGGGCGGGCTGGTTAGAAGTCCTGTGGGTTCACCACAGATCAGGAGAGCCTTGCGGCCACACGGGACAAATATCAATGTAAGATCACTGAACGTATCTGTTGATCTGTAATTAGTCAGATAGTTTGTACAAAAACATGGGCTCAGTCCTCTGCCTCCCACCTCCTCTAGGAGGCCTGTGGTCCTTACGGCTGGGGCACCACAGCTTTAGTCAGCAGCTCTGCCAACCTCATCCCCCTGGTTGGCCTGCCACCCATCCTCACCTCCACAGGAGTCAAAGGAGGTAAGACAGGTTCCATCCCATTTGAGGGGGAGGGTCAAAAGCAAGAGCAGCATAAGATACATCAGTGTTATTATGTCTTTGTTCTTCAGATTACACTGTGGAGGAGCAGCCCTCTGAGATGCTGCTCATTCAGGAGCTGGAGAGTGGCAGGCCCAAGCCGCTGGTGTTCGTCCTCAATGCCAACCTGCTTGCTATAGTCAAGCTGGTCAACTGTACGTTTCTTTTTTTCCCCTCCTCATTGTGCACGATAAAGTGCATAGAAGGCAACATATTGTACACAATAATGGCTGCTGTGATCCTACAAATAATAATAATTATTGACTCCAAAAAAAGGTGACTGAATGTGATTTCAGTTGGAATTAAAAAAACAACAACTGTCCTTTTAGACCTGTGAGGTTGTGCCTTGATTGTGTGACAGATGTTAACAGGAAGTGCTGGTGCGTGACGACAAAGGGAATGCACGCTGTGGGCCAGGTGGAGGTGGTGTTGTTGCTGCAGTGTTTGCCTGAAGAGAAAAGCTTCCCCAAAGACATTTTCAGCCACATTATCCAGCTGTACAGGGACACCCTCACAGGTCAGAGCCACACACAATAATATGCTTACATACTGTAATTTCCAACTTGTTATGTATAGTAGTGATGTTTTATATTGAATTTGGTAAAAGGGTATTTTCTCCAATGATTACGTGTGTCCTTTTCCTCTGTATTTCTGCAGGAAAGGTTGTGAAACACCTGTCGCTGTCCTTGTTCGGCAGTAGTTTCCTGGGCAGTGAGGAGCACGCAGGCTTCCTGTACATTCGCTCCACTCTGCAGTCCCTTCAAGGTCTACCTCTGCCAAACCAGCCCTACCTCTTTGGCCTGCTGGTCCACAGAGCAGAGGTGGCCTGGGCCAAAGCCTTTCCCTTGCGTCTCATGCTTCGATTGGGGGCCGAATACAGATGTAAGCCATGAAATGAATGAAATGCTACGTCTGTAACGCTACAGGATTTCTCTTCAGTCACCAGCTTTCTTTCTTGTTCCAGTTTACCCGTGTCCTCTGTACAGCGTGCGCTTTAGGAAGCCCTTGTTTGGGGAAATTGGCCACACCATAATGAGACTGTTAGTGGTGAGTGTGACATTTTGTAACAACTTCCTGTTCAGTGTTGTTACAAAAACCAAATTGTTCACCATTAGTAGTTACGTTTGGTGTTGAAACTTTGACCAAACTTTCCCCGTTCCTCCCATCGTGCTTCAGGACTTTAGGAATTACCGTTACAGCCTGCCGATGGTGCCGGGGCTCACTGTGGATCTAGAGGCTCAGAGGACCTGTATAAAGATACCGACCACTGGGTATAATGAGGTAGGATGGAGCCTTTAAATCCCTCACAGAGTTAATAATAATAATAATAATAATAATGTGAATGTAGTTTCTTTTTCTTTAATCAATCTCCATCCTTCCCTCTCATTACAATCTCCATCCTTCCCTCTCATTACAATCTCCATCCTTCCCTCTCATTAGCTAATGAAGGCTTTGAATAAGTCCAATGAGCACGTGCTGGCCATTGGGGCGTGCTTCAATGAGACTGCAGACTCCCACCTCATCTGCGTGCAAGGAGACGATGGCCAGTACCAGACCCAGGCCATCAGCATCCACAATCAGCCACGCAAAGGTGGGCCATTCCAGGATACCGAGAGGCACATCAAGATATCAGAGTCTGGACTTAATGTTACATAATCAAGCAGGAGTGGGGAACATTCACTGCAATCAGACATGTGGATTGCAACAAGGGGGGGGGGGGGGCACCTTGATGAGCTGATAATTCATCTGTTATTTAGGGGAACGTTGGTACAGTTGAATTGGTGCACTGGGAGGAAAGAGATCAACACATTAGGAGCTGCATTCAGTGTTCACTAGAAACACTCGTTGATCTCCACCAACCATGCGGTTCTATCTACTCATTTTACACCTTTTAAAATAGTATTTGCTGCACAATATTTACCATTACAAATGATAAATGTGCAGCCAGACTTTGTGCAAACTCATGACATTTTATTCTACATCCCCATGTTCCCAAAGACATTCAATTATTTTATTCTGTGGCAGAAGGAAGTATGTAAACGTCAGGGAGAAGTTTTCACGTGATTGTGCAGCCGCAACAAAATTAAATCTTGGGATTTAAAGATTTTTACTCAATTTGAATTTTCCATGAATGTAATTGTATCAGAAGCAGAAATAGAATACAGACAGAATATTGTTTAACACTATTCATTTTAAAGAGAAACAAAGGGCTCAAGAAGTTCTCTTATGTAACACTAGATGGCACAACATGATCGTTTCTTTCTTGTTACTACAAAGACTGATATATCAGGATTGGAGCCACAGAGTTTGTCTCTAAACATGTTTGTTTTTTCTTCTCTTTTTTTGTTATTGCAGTTACTGGATCATGCTTTTTTATATTCAGCAGTGCACTGAAAGCGTCTGCAGGATACCTTGCCAAGTCCAGCATCGTAGAAGGTAGGATGTCAGCTCAGAGGGGAGTCAGGTTCACCTTGACACGTTCCTGCCCTGGAGGAAATTCAATGCTTACATATATTTACTATTTAAAAAACAAAAAGTAGTGCATGTTAACACCCCTGCTTTAAGACTGCTTTATTCAGAATGTGTGTGTATATGTGTGTGTCTGTGTACATTTTAACAGACGTGTGTACATGTTGATGCATGCGAGTGTACGTGTGTCTGTCCGTGTGTTCCTCCTGTATCGCTGCCCCCTTCTCCCCCAGATGGACTGATGGTGCAGATCACCGTGGAAACCATGGCCGAGCTGCGCCGGTCGCTACGGGACATGAAAGACTACTCCGTCACCTGCGGACGGCTCGACCAATCGGACAGCCAGGAGCTTGTGTGTGTACAGTGGGTGGAGGAGAAATGCTCAGTGAATAAGGGGTGAGCGTGTCCGCCTGTTTGATGCTCATGTGGCAGAATGAGGCTTTTGTGCTCAAAGAGAACAACATGGCAGAGTGTGCTGGCTTTAGTAACGTCTGCGTTTTCATTTCTGTCCCATGTTGTAAATGTGTGTCCTCCAGAGTTATAAGCCCCATCGATGGGAAATCCATGGAGTCCATCTGCAATACCAAGATGTTTCAGAAGTCAGAATACAAAGAAAACGGGAAGATCATCCGCTGGACAGAAGTACATATGATGATCTGCTAAAAATATCTACATAAGTAGAGCAGCAACGATTAATCAATTAGTTGTCAACTATTAAATGAATCACCAATGACTTTGATAATAGATTAATCGGTTTGAATCATTATTTAAGAAAGAAAAGTCAAATTTCTCTGGTTCCAGCTCCTTAAATATGAATATTTTCTGATTTATTTGCTCCACAATGAAAGCAAACTGACATTGTGGAGCAAATAAAGTTGCAGCGGGTGTTCAGCTAGATCTGATTCATCACACTGTATTCTCCATCTAATGAAGTACCTGTAATGAGATGCACAGGATAAGTAGAGCTAATGTAAAACTTGAATTTGAGTTGTGGACTAAACAAGACTATCAAAGATCTTAGGCTTTGGGAAACACTGTTCGACATTCTGACATTTTATAGACAAAAACAACCAATTGATTAATCGATAAAATAATCAAGAGATTAGTTGCAGCCTTTAACGTAACTGCCTCCTCTCTATACATCTGTCTACGTGCTGTGCAGGTGTTTTTCCTGCAGAGGGGGAATCACCCCAAAGGAGGAGCGAGTGACTCTGCTGAACACGACCGGTTGACGGAGCGGATCGCCCGGGCGTTTTGCTTGGCACTGTGTCCTCACCTCAAGCTGCTGAAAGAGGACGGGATGGCCAAGCTGGGGCTGCGTGTCGCGTTTGATGCTCAAGAGGTCTGAAAGGATGTTTGGTATTTGGCATCAGTGAGCTGAGTCACAATGACATATTGTTACGAACTTCCCATAATAAGGTTGCATCATGAATACTGCCCTGCAAAGCCAAAATACAACAAGTACATACTTGTTCAGAATAGATGGTGAAAGGAACACATTGTTTATAGATACTATACTATCATCAGGCAGAATGTAGTGTCTATTTATTTTAGGTGTAATGTAGATCTATGGAATATTTATTTTTGGTTATATTATCAGCCTGTGGAGCCATAAAAATGAAGCCAATACAACCATGCCACCGAGATGAAATCCTTTTTCTATAAACGTTTAGTTTCACAGTGATCATTTATAAATTCTTTAAATAGCAGTTTCTTTTCTATGCTACAGAATAAGTGGTACTCTGCTAACAATGTGAGGATTACATCAGCATGGGATTCCTTAAGGTTTCAGATGCTCTTTCACTCGGCCAAAAAGTTTATGAAAAATACGCAGGGATGTTTCGTAAAAAATCATACCGGTCTAACTTTGAGTGGTGTAACATATGACTCACATAATGCACAGTTGTAAAGCTCTTAACTCAAGCTTCAGGGTGTGACTATATTAAAACGAATTACTGGTTTCTTTTGTAATTTCAGGTGGGATTTGTGGCTGGGAGCAATGGGCTTCCCCTCCCAGCTCAGTACCTGAACGCCCTGGACAGCGTGCTGATCCCCGTCATACACAGCAGGGGGCGCAAGAGGGGCGACGAGCCCATCGTGATGGAGCTCATCTTTTACATCCTGGAGAACATCATTTAAAGAGCGCACACGCCCCCGCTATTTCATCTTTTCAAACTCTGACCACAACTCTGTCTCCGGCACTTCTCATCAGTGCTGCCAACGGTTTCAGGCCAATAAAAGCATTCAAAAGGGCGAACCGGACCACATCCAAGGTCTGCATTACATCTCATCCACTCACGAGCAGAGAGAGAAGTGGTTAGTGGTTTTCTGATCTCACCCTGCCCTGCAGCAGACAATCTGGGTACGCATGAAACCTAGGATGGGCCATCAGATCACTGTACACTGTACAGTAGTAGCAACTTCATAGCTTGATATCGTCCACGTCACAAAGTTCAATACCAATTCCCATATGGAGAATACCTTTAAAAGTGGGAGCTGGATTCAGACCCACGACATAAAAGCAAAGAGATAAAGAGAATGACTTGAAGAACAGTATGTAGTAGATCTGTAGCAATTTGATGCGCACTGAATGAATGCCTAAAGGATGTTTTCATACTGGTTGTATTTTAATTGATTGCTCATGAAATGTAATGTCGGCCTGGAATTAAACTTGCAACAACGACCAAGTTACCGCCTGTTCATGAAGGTCACATTTACTAAAGTACTTGCACTTAACTAGCTTTATACTTATACGTCACATTTCAGAGGGAAAATATTGTTCTTTTTTTTCCTCCACTACATTTGCGCCAACTGCTATAATTACAAACTATATTGCAGATTACGATTTTACATGCAAAAAATGCACTCATTGACTTTATTAGGGAAAACCTGTAAAACCAAATCCAATAGCTCATTTACAAAGATAATAAACTTCAGTTTTGATTGACACTATCATAGAGGTATGCACTTAACTTGAATGTTAGAAACACCTATTAATGTAAAAGATAATGCAGTCATATACAAAAAATAATCCTTCAGATTCAGTTCAGAAAAGCTGCGTGTTCCAGTCTGTAAAACAAAGCAACTATTTCATGTACTGGATCTGTGGTTTGTTTAGCTTGCATTCATTTTCAGGCTGAATGGACGCTGAGTGCCAACAAGATCGCATTTCTGAACCTGATGAACCCGCGCGTGGTTGATAACGGTGGGTGGAGATCCGGTCTGCAGGATGCTTACTCTCTCCCTCTCTGGCTCTTAACGATGGATTTTTTTTTTCAGACAAAGCAGAATGGGGCTCTTGTTAACCTCCTACTGGCTCCACATATTTGAGATGGTTAAGACAAGAGGCTTCAGCACACAATGCAAATACTTTTCTTTGTTGCAACACAGCAGTCTTTCCCCAGAGCCCTGACAACTTGAACCCTTCTAAGCATGCCGCACATTCAGTAAGCACCTATTCTGTGAAAATACGGACGCACAAAACGTGTAAGATAATTCAAGATTGAATTTATTGAGATTTAATTTTAAATACACAATATAAGAAAATTTAGAAAGTCTAAACCAATACAAATTAGTTATTTTTGTTTGCTGTAAAACTATTTACAAAAAGTATTTTCAAGTTTGATAGAAACTGTACAGTTATCTGTCAACAAGAGGAGGTCAGTGCGATGTGGGTGTCAGAGAAGTAGTGAAGGCAAGTGGGGTGAAAGGCCGCCAGTGTGATACTGAACTAGGAGCTTGTTGCAACATCAGTGAAGATAATATTTTGGTCAAAACATCTTCTCTTCATACATTTTTATGTTCCATAAATGGTTTCCCCAACTCAAAAAGAGGTTTTGAGTTGAACGAACGAACAAACAGAAGCAACCAAAAGTTTGGAGCCCAACTGTGGAAATCATTGACCACGTCATTTCCCCATGTGTCGCAATTCAAACTAATAACAGGAAAAGAAACACAGCCAAAACTATCTTTGGAATCCGTAGTAGTATAAACCGGTTCACACTTCTTAGGTGTTTCCTTCCAGGGATCTTAGGCCTTCTTCATCTTGCTCACGTGACTGTTGCCGTTGCTCGCTCCGTGGTTGACGCCGTTCTCATGGTGCTTGCCGTTGGTGTAGACGGCCGTGCCGTTCTGACACTGCTTAGCATCCTGTTTTGGCAACCGCTTGCCCCTCACGTAAGCCTGGATCCAGAAGTTGGAGAAGAGCACGAAGAAGAAGGTTCCATACATCCAGATGAGGTGGAGGATCATGGGGAACTGGTAGTCGCAGCTGTGCATGAAGTAGTACTGGGTAGCGTGGAGAGATACCAGGACAAACTGGGTCTGTCGGGAAGAAACCAGGAGTCAGCCATGCACTTACTATAAATAAACGCAGATGGATTCGTCTTGAAGCCTGAACCAGAGTACCAGACATTCAAATGAAAAGACTAGTAGTTTAAGACGCTGAGCGAGGCTCTCATGCCGTCCTTGAGCTGATCCCTGAAGCCTACGAGTAGCTCAATTAAAATACAAAATTGATGATGAAGCGAACAACACAGAAAACTGCAGAATATAGGGTGTCCCTACCAGCTGAATGGCCGTCATGTATTTCTTCCACCACAGAAACTTCTGGAAGCGTGGTCCAGCAGCAGACAGGCCGTAGTAGAAATACATGATGATGTGGACGGTGGAATTCACCATAGCATGAAAAGATCCCATTCCACCTGGGGGTAATAATCACAAACAGCATTAGGCCAACTCAAAGTAGCGGAAGAACCCAAGTAAAAACCTCGACGGCCTCGACATTCTTGGAAGGTCAGAGACTCTTGGTTAATCATTTTCTCATGACTAAACAGAACTATACAATAACCGGCAGAAGGTTCCTTTAAAAAACAAGAGCAGAAGCCAACTGGAGGACAGTGTTGCTGATTGTACAGGTCAACATCCACAAGATTGGTTTTACAGGACAAAGTAATAACACTAAAACCATTAATAATTCTTCAATCAAGATTGTGTTAATGTGTACTCACCAGGAGCATAGACAATCCCCCACCACCAGGTCCAGGGCATGAAGGAGTGGTGGAAGATGTGTAGGAAGGTCACCTGGCCATGCTTTTTCCTCAACACGAAGAAGACCTGAGCGAAAGACGATATTGATCAGTTAAAGTCAACCAAAACTGAACACAAAAGCGAGTCAAGCAAAAGACTGAACTTACTGTGTCGATGAGCTCAATAATCTTGGAGAACCAGAACAGCCAGGCCACTCGGACCATCTGTTGAGGAGGGAAAAGACTTTGTAAAATGATCATTTCACTTCATATTAAAGCAAGAAATGACTAATAATTGAGTAGAAAGAGAGGGACTTACTCGAAGTGCTTGAGGACTGTTCGACGTATCCACTGGGTCACATCGCCAGGTATATGTTGTGGCCCAACCAGACATCAGGAACTAAATTACAAGAACATTTGATTTGATTTCATTGCTAAATTAAGATCTTTACAGATATAAATTCAACCAAAACTAGACAAATTAAGCCACTTTCTCTTCATGTATGACCATGAGATGTTCAAAATGTGTAAAAAGTAAATTGCAAGTCGTTAAATGTCGGAGACTTTAAGTAACAGTGTCTTACTTCGTAGACGATGATTGTCGACAGTGCCACTAGCGAGAAGTTGTAGACTATCATGGCTTCCTTAAGCTGGAAGGGCTTACGATTGGCCATCATGCGCGGCCCAAGGTACAGTACAAAGAAGAGGTAACACAGCAATGTTGCAGACATGGCAATAGGAGTCTGCATCATTGGATATTCCTTCAGCCGTGGATCTAGAGAAAGAAGAAAAAGACAATACGTTAGAAAACAATAAATAGAGTGATCTTTTGCATTTAGTTTAGCTAAGTCACCTACCAATTCCTGCCAAGAGGTAGTTGTAGATATCCATGGCATGCGAGCCGATCTCCTGAATCTCTCGAAGCATGTTTGCCATCTTGAATTGTTGTGACCAAATTATCTGCAAAAACACATAAAGCTCATTGTTAATTTGATCTAGTCAAGGCCAAACACAGCAGCAACCCCTCTACCACTCCCATGGCAGTAATTCAAGGAGTGACACATCACTAAGTTCAAGAAAACTCTATTTTGCCATTTTTTGAATGTCAGATGTATTGTTTTTGGATGTGTAAATGTAGCTGAAATGTACCATTATTCTTCCTCATCGGTTTTTGGAACCTATAAAAAGCAGTTCACTTTTCCTAGACAGTGAAATTTCCGAAAATAGTGTTCTCTGTCATGAATGGATTACATAAATTCTTCAACAAAAATATAAATCACATGGCTTTTTGGGGGGCTTGGAACAATGAGGAGCATTTTGGAGCATTTCCTGATTCAGCGGGATTGAAATGCAATTATCGGCTCATCTCTCCTCAAACAAAACACACCCAACAGAAATACCGTCAGTCACGGGCTGATATCAGAGAGCAGGCGCTACAAGGAACTGGGAGGGAAACCCTCGTCCTACAGCAGGGCTGGCACTCTGCTGGCTGGCTTTTGTGTCTTGACTTCATGACTCTTGCATACAGTCAAACTGCTCTCAAACCGCAGAGCCCTGACATTGTCATCCAAGCTCCTTAAACTCACAAGTGGTTTTTTTGTCTTGTTACGTAGCAACCGCACTTATTTGAGACATTGCCGCTGCGAACTGAATCTATCAGTTCAACTACAAATATGTGCACACACACGACTGTTGCTCTGGGTTTCTGACCTACAAATGTTTCTGTTGACAAAAGGCTCACCATATCAAGCAAGTGTAAAGTGTATTCACAAAGTAGAGGACACGCAGGGTGCGGCCCTCTGTACCCACGCTATTGTTGTACAATCTGCAAAGCTCTGAGTTTTCACTGCTCAAGGCCTAAAGAACAGCCCGCCTTAAACCAATATAATCACCAGCTGATAATTCCATGTTGTGTAATGAAGGGCAGGTGAGGCGTGGAGCTGATACAGAGGTGCTGCTCAGGTAAAAACACATTTTAAGTGCAAACTACAGATGTGAATTTTGCCAACACTGAGCTGGATCCAAGTTTAAGAATGCTAACTCGCTTTCAGTATCAATTTTTTAAAACTTTTCGACAGGGTGTCAAACCAGCTCTGTAATCTGCACTTGTGCATACTTGTTTTCAAGGCTGCTTCAGTCTAAAACTCACTCGCCTCATGGTAATGAATGTACAACACATTATCTTACATCTTCAACGACTGACTTGCAAAAAATAAAAAGGCCACACAGATACTGAGCTGTCAACCCAAAATATGCATAACGGCCCTTGATCTGCTTAAGTTCATATTTAGTGAGTCTATTGTGTCAAAGTTGAAGCGGATTCTGAGCACACAGCTACAGTGTAAACAGATTGTATAAACTTTTAATTCCCACAGAGTTTGTTCGCCTCAGGGCTTTTTTTTAAGCGTTAACCACAAAGCAACTGTCAACAGGGCGGTAGTATCTTTCTGTTCGATCTTCTTGTGGAGCTTCCAGGTTATTGAGTCGAGCATTCCAGGACAATTTATAACAGCTGCACTGCTGTCTTAGCTTCCTTTTGTCAATATGGTGAAAACTTGAACTGGAGTTTTGTGCTGTTGCAGCCCCTCGGCAGTATCACCAAAAAGTGAAAATGATGGTGTTGTACAGCAGATCAGATACATGACATTTCAGAAAACTCTTACGCAAAAACGCGCTGGTTGTTTTTGAACCGACGGTGAGACATTCGGTCAGGCGCCCTCGCATTTCAACAAGAGCACCATCACGTCTGTTGTGGAGAGTCTGTCTTGTTCTGAGGAAAAATGCTGAACAGTTACATTGAGCAGAGGACCGTCGGGTCAGGTTAGTGATAACGTCGAGTTTATTGTAGCACCGCGAGTTGAGTCGTGGCAGTTTGACGTCACATGGCTTAGAATTTTACGAGTTCGTAATTTGTTTGAGTTCTTAAATCCAAAAATATTGGTAATTCACCAAATAGTTGAGTGTATACATGAAAAAATAGATTTAGTTTTTGGACACCAAAAGCCACTTTTCTGAGTTCAATCAAATGATGTTGTCGACACTGCAACAGGATTATACAGAAACCCTACAGTTAGATATGTACATAGGATTTGCTTTTTGAATACAAGTCATATAAATCTCCCAGTTTTCATGTTCAAACTGCTGAATGAACAACTTGTGACTCACTTGAGAGAGATGTTTTAGAGAATACACATAAATAAAGTGATTGTGCAAGGTCAGGAGGATAGTCTTATGATCATGAACACTAAGAAGGAAAAGGAAACAATATTTCTGTATCTTTAAGTCCCGGATGAAGTTGGCAAAAAATTGAAAATGAAGTCCCTTCCATCCCAGCTTAGTGAAACCACAGATCTTTTACAAGAGCGGCCGACAGCAGTTAATGAACATCACTGCTCTGACACTTCTATGCCATTTCCTGCATCTACTCATCAGTGACCTCAAACATGATGAGACCACTCAACTGATTTCAATCTCCACCAATTAAAGGCTCACATACGAATTGGAACTCCACTGTTGAAGAACATTCAGCGCTGTTCAGCCAAATAAACATTAGTAGTAAATCCACAAGATTAGAGGAGCATCCGCGTACAGAGGAGTCCACACAGTGCTGTAGTGTTACCGTGACGGAGTGAAGACATTCAGCAGACACATGACCACTTAAGCACCACGCTACCTTTAGGCAATGACTTCTGTCACCTCTCAAGAGGAATGTCAAAAATGTAAAGCCCTGAGCTACACAAGTCCATTCTCGAACCAGACAAAAATGTTGTTTTAATGGTTCTACAAAAACACAGCGTTAGTCCTTCTGCATGTCCTCTTTATGTTACTCTTTTAGACTACATTGACAACAACGTGGCTGGTTTACGTCTATATAGAAGAGTGGAAAGGGCGGTGGAACATTTCCTATGGAGGCCATGTCAATGAATCATAGGGATGGCAAAAGGGAGCTCACATTCACACGGTAGAAGTTAATGATGAACCGATGAACCGACAGGAACCGTTACACACAGCAAAGAATCCGTTATAAAAAGGACATTTCAACCACCACAGCCTGATATCCTCAAACACCAAATGAACAGACAATTCACCCCTGAGCTGCTCAACATGTTGGGCGGAGTTAGTCAGTGAGTTCACCTTCTACGTAACCATATGCAACTTACCTCGTTGAGACTAGAATTAACCTCTTAAATCATCAGAAGCCAATGTGGATCCTTCTTTCACAGGACAGCAAAGCCTCTGTGCAAAACTATAAGGACGGGCCGGTGGGCAGCAGCAAAAAGAGAGAACAGCAGAGCAGAAAGAGACAGAGAGAGAGACAGAGAGAGAGAGAGAGAGAGAGAGAGAGAGAGAGAGAGAGAGAGAGAGAGAGAGAGAGAGAGAGAGAGAGAGAGAGAGAGATGGGGAAAGGGAATGAGAGTGTAAACTGACAAACTGTGACTGGTACAGCAGTATTCCAAATCCCCACCCTCCCTGACTCACACAGTGGATGAATAACTAGCTCACAGAAGCAGGGAGGGGGGGGGGGAATGAGCCAGAGAGAGAGAGAGCACAAGCCAGCGCCAAGACGGAGTACAACTTTGGTGAGATTGAGAGATGGGCCCCATTTAAACCCACACCCCAATTTAAGATGCTACCTTGTGACCACCGCCTTGAATTCAACAAGTCTGAGATGCCCCCCCCCTCCCCGCTACCTTTTTCTCTCCTGTTCACCCCCCACCCAGTGAAACACACACGACACACAACTGTGGAGTCGCTCTGTAAGTTTTCGCTCAGGGGTGGGCTGATAATATTATTCACGGGCAGCAGGCGAGCAATCAGAGGACACTCTGTTATCATGAAAGGGGCCATTGTTACCCTGTGTTGGCTCTGGACCCAGCCAACACCCTTACAGCAAAAGTAATTTCCATGTTTCGCTCTGTGTTTGGAGACGATCGATGTCATCGCGGAAAATAATGCCTGGAACAAGTCGGGAGTAGCTGCATTTCTTCTGTCGTTTTGTCTGCTTAATGTTTGGCAACATGCTTGCTTCATACACTCCTACCTAACTACAAGGAGTACAGCTCATGATAGAGAGAAATACATTTGGATACATTCGAGCTAGGGAGCATCATAACCAGTCATAAAGTCTTGATGTATGCTCAGGGTTGGAGAGTGAGGCTGCGAGGGGAGAACGTGACTCATACGATAATGCTTAAAAATCCTCTGAGCGTTTCGTGTATGAGGAGGGTTTGATCGTCATAGGAAATCACTGACTCTGATCTTACTGCCACACCCATTCATTTCAAAGAGAGGAACAAAACATAAGAGATAATTGATTTTATTTTATGCTGAGAAATCATTTTAGTCCTTTGGCTGCAGGGAGGAACGCATAACTTCTATAGATTTGAGAACATAAGTAGTTATTAATATGGTCTGATGAAACCGCACACAATGACTTAATAAGAGTTTCAGAGATCACGTCATACGCGTAATGAACAAGGCAGCGTTTACTCTTGCGGGCTCATTCAGAAAGAGCCCTGCAAAGTCAGATCATGCTGAAAATGTAGCTTATAAGTAAAATGCAAATAGTTATAAGAACCCTGGAATTCTGTAATTCCTATTAAAAGCATATTGTATGATGTCATTTTTTTGTAAATACTAGTCGAACTTGGTTTTTCAAACCACAAACATCTGGTATCTGGTGATCTTATCACTGCATCCGATTGGTCACTCGATCCCTGCGGGGGATGGGAGGGGTGGTGGCAGCCCTCCAGTGCATTTCAGCCCCTCCTCCAAACACCAATACACACTTGATAACATGATAGTCATCTTTTCCTGTGAAACCAAAACCTCAGGTGACAATTATTGTGGTTTACAAAGCCTGAAAGAGTCTCCATCAGATCAAAACAAGTCATGTTTAGAAAGAGTAGAAAGTTAGCCATAGTAACCCTGGTCAAGCAAAAGTCTTGGCAAATCAATCCATTACACAAAGTGCAGTGTGACAACACATCTAACTTTATCTTGCAATGCATAAAAGGGGCTCCACTGAAAAAAAGCTTAATTCTGAACTATTGATGATCTTGGTTCATAAAAACAATACATAATCCCAATGGATGATCTGGTGACTTGGAAAGTGTAAAAGCAGGAACAAGTGTGCAGCTGAGCACTGAGCCAGATATTTCCACCAGCATGTCACACACTCGTGTGAGGAATCTGACTTTGCTGTCAATGTACAAGTCTCAAGTCAAGCTATGCAATGTCATAAAAATATCTTTTGTTAAGAAATGATGCTGCTCTGAAAAGCAAGATAAGACTGACGGTGTATTTTAAGTTATTAGGGGTTTGGCTCAGAACTGGCAAGGTTATATTAATGTTCATTATGATCAAACACCGTCACTGCTCAGCAGTCTGTTATTTGTTGTATATGACAGTTAGTTCCGACCGAGTAATTTGATTGGACGAGAGGCATTCTATTTATACTATCACTCCACTTTACTGGAGTTCTAATGACCATTAATGACATTCACAGTCGTAGTCTATCTGACCTGCAGTAAAATGTAGACGTATTCAAAGCAGCTAGCTTGTTCATGCGTTGCTTGTCCCAGTCAGCTGCAGAACTATTTATGTTGGTGGAGCAAAATAAATGATCCAACTAAACAAATCATAATCTGTTGTTGCTTATTACTGTTAACTAATAAATGTCACTTGTAGCAGCAAAGACTTAGAGATGCATATTATTGGGTGGTCCTGAAGTGGAAACATCAGAAGCAGATATAAGATCAAATTCAGAGTTCATTAATGAATGTGATCATAGACCTATGTCTAGACGCTGTGGGGTTTTATTAAGCAACGTTTTCTATGATTTGATGAGCTAAACTAAACTGGTTTGTAATGTGGCAACAGCCACTTCAGCGATTAACAATGAGGGACATCGATCTTTATAT